GTTTTCGGCAGCGGCTGCGTCAGAAGGTGAAGGTGGGAGTGGTGGGCGGCTCCGACTTTGAAAAGATCAAGGAGCAGCTGGGAGACGACGGTGAGAGCCGCGAGGGGCTGGCGGGGAGGTTGTGCAGGCGAAAGGGGGATCAGGCCCTTCTCGTTCTGCCTCCGTGCTTGGGGCTGCCTGCCTGGCTGCGTGGCACTCAGTCTGAGGAGCTCTCCTGAGGCTTCGAAACTGCAGCCCGTGCTACTGAGGGAAGGAGGGGTGAAGGCCTGACCTTGTGACAGCGCCTCAGGAGAGGGCATTTACAAATTACATTTTAATTAAAATTAAAATGGGGTGACCTGCCTGACATACAGGTGTGCAGGCTGCTCAGGTGTCTTGCTCAGCCCTGAAACATCTGACCTTAACTGTGGGTTTACATGCAGAGATGGACTCTTGCTTTAGTCCTCTGGGAGGCATTTCCTCTTCTGTATAAAAGACCATCTTTAATAGACTTTACTTAATTGCTGCCATTGATAGTCTTCTGTAATGCCCTGGTAACTCAGAATCTGGCTTTGCAGGTGGTGTCTGGTAAGATATATTATCCTGCACTGTAGTAAGATGCCCACAACTCTTGGACTTCTACTGTAGATTAGGAATGTTGAGGAAACAAACATGAAATAGTGGTATTTGATTTGCTCTCTCACCCAGCTGACTGCCAGGTTTTTGTATTACTTGAGGTGTTCAGTCACTCCTTACGTTTCATGCAGAGGAGTTTAATGCAGGAGAGGAAGAGCAAAAAGTACAGGTGACTTAACTCAAAGGCTTCATGTGATTTGAGGTGTGTGTTAATGCTGGAGAGAAATCATCTTGTCCTCAGCATTATGCTGTTGAATCTTTCATGCTTTATGATCTAATGTTTGTTGTATTTTAACCTGTTTCATGTGTTAAGACAATTCTGTTTCAAAAATACAGGGGAAAGTATAAATTACTGTTTTTATTGGTTGTAGTGGTTGAAAAATTTGACTACGTTTTTCCAGAAAATGGTCTTGTAGCATACAAAGATGGGAAGTTCTTGAGCAAGCAGGTAAGTGTGAAATTTCCAGTAATGTGGAAGAGGAATTTTCTAAATGAGATTTTGCTCTATTGCTACAGTGCAGTGCTCTATAATTACTCTTCAGTCCTCTATAATCTCCCTTCTAACTAAGGCCAAAATTGTTGCTATTTGCATGTGTTAACTTCTGTAACAGATGATTCCTTTGGCAATCTGATTCATGTCATAACAATCTACACCTTTGGGGTGTTCTCAAAACCAAAAGCCATTGAATCTGAAGCATCTGATTGAGTAATAAGAACAGTGAAAATCCTGGAACAGCCTTATCTGTAGGAAATGTGGCCAAGCCCTCTGCTCCTAAGGTCCTATGGAATATATATATAGCCTTTCACAGCTGATGTCTGCTAGACCTTAGGGTTCAGCAAGTTTCTTGTAGCTGCTTTGTAGTATGAATTCAGAGTGCACATTCTGATATGTGACATAAGCTAGAAGGTAGATTCTCTAACTTGAGATAAATATATATCTGATTTTAGATACCCTAATCACCTTCCTCAGTTCAACGTAGGTAGTGGAGATTAAAAATGTAAAAGAGATCCTGTCTGAAATCTCTGACTTGAGCAATGGTTTCCAACTTATTGCAGTAAGGATCTTCATTTCTTCACACTTAGCTACAGTAGGTGTTAACTGCAACTTTTTGTTTAGGTCTGGTCTTTTTGGCCCACTCTGTTTCCTTTTGGTAGGGAACATACTGAATTAGAGAAAAACAAAAGCCTCTACTTAATGCCATGTGTGCATCAACTGAGGGTTATTATTGAAGGCATGTTTCTTTGTGGTATTAACCACGCCTGGTCATCCAATGTTTGTGTTTTTCATGTGACTTCTATTTAGAAGCTTAAATTGTGAACCCTTGGTTGAATGGTATTTGTTTTGTTAGAACATTCAGGGTCACCTGGGCGAGGAGATACTTCAAGATCTGATCAACTACTGCCTGAGTTACATTGCGAAGATTAAACTGCCAAAGAAAAGGTCTGTACCTACAAACATCTCCTTGTCCTCCTATTCTACATGTTATAGTGGTGAGCATAAATGTGCAAAGCAGGCAGCTCAGCAAAAAACAATGTGTGGTTCAGGAACACTGCATGGAATAGAGCTCACTCCATACGTGCAAAGACAAACTCCCGACTGGAGCACGGGATTTGAGATACTGATTGAGCATTTTTGTTTAACAGGTAAGGAACTTCAGTTTGGAAGTAGAAATATTTACTTAACATGTTTGGAATTCAGCAGCATAATGCTTTCCAGAGATTAGAAGTGTGCAGTAAGGTCAGCTCTGTGTGACATGAGGGTGCAGCTGCTCAAGACGTTAATATCTACCATATGTGAGGCTGGCTAGAAACACTGCTACGATTGCTTTGCATTTTGCTGCTTCCTCCCAAAGCTGACAGACTGGCCTGTTAAGGCCTTAGAATTGCATTGACAGGGTGCTCCAGTCATGCTTTTAAAACCATATCATACTTTCTAAAATCAGTAAGGATGATATTGAGGTTGCCAGATTCAAATATAGTCAAAAAAACTCCTTGATGCCAGAGGTATTGATCCCTACACATTGTTATTTATGCATACAATGAGAGGCTGAAGGTGACATCTGATTCCCCTTGTCTTCAGAATTAAACAAAGTTCTTTGTGATATTCAGTATTTTGAGCAATTTTTCATCTGTTTTCTGTCTTGTTAATTCTTTTTCAGAGGGACTTTCATTGAGTTTCGAAATGGGATGTTAAACGTGTCCCCCATTGGAAGAAGCTGCAGCCAGGAAGAACGAGTTGAGTTCTATGAACTTGATAAAGTGAGTTACAACTCTTGAAAAAAATCCAACTCTTCTGGAAGAGGCAGTTATGGCCAGGTTGTGATTTTTAAAAAGCTTTTATACTCTGTGCAATCTTTTTCATTTTAATCCTTTCCGTGTGGTTTAACTAACATCTTAGTTCAGACTTCAGGAAATATGTGACAGGTTTTTTTGTTGCAGTAGTTAATGATTTCTTGCAGAAGGAGAGGGTTTGGCTCATGTTTCCTTTAACCCTATATCCAGAGTATGAAACATCCTACCTCTAACACCGGGGTTCCTGAAAATCCCTCTTGTAGATAAAACCATACTTACTTGGAGTGCTCTTTAGTGTACCCACCTGTATCCATTCAAATCCATAAAACTATTCCTTTGCTTGTCAAGTCTCCAAAGCCTTTTAAAGCAGAATTTAAAAGCCGAGGTCAAACTATTCATATATTTTCCTTTGTATACAGCTAAAAGTGTGAGGCTGAAATGAACCTAAGCCATGCTGTCAGAGTTCTGTTCCCTGCTACACCATAACAACTGTTTCTGACCTGAGACAGAAACTGAAATCTGATTCCTCAAAAGCAATCTGTGCCTGTGACTCAGTTAATGGATGCTGAAAGAGACTCAAGCCCAAGGCATGCTGAAAACACCCTTTTTGGAGTATATAGCATTAGAAGATCAGTACCTGTTTTGAGGCTTCCCATGCTTCAGTCTCCTCATTTATAAAACTGAATTTTACTGGGAGTTGAATAGAATACTTGAGTACTTCCTTAGTAGCCTAAGGTTTTCAGATAGAAAAACAAGTCTCACAGCATGTATGTGATTTTTTTCTCTCGTTTTTTACAAGTTGGTAACAAATTAAAGTGGAAGTATTCTCAGCATGTTTTCTGTCATAATAAAACACAGCTATATCCCACTAGTCCTGGTACACAGACTTTTGGATATTCTTGGGGTGATTTTTTGGGCTGTCTTTATTGATGAATGAACACAGCATGTAGCTGATGTTTGTTTGCTTTTTTTTAAACAGAAGGAACATATAAGAGAGAAATTTGTAGCTGATTTACGAAGAGAATTTGCAGGAAAAGGCCTCACGTTTTCTATAGGTATTGCATTTTAAATTATTTTGTTTAAAACATCATTTAATGTAAATTTCACTGAAGTAATATCCTCTTACAGATATGACATCTCTGATCTCATTTGTGTAGCAGTTATTCCTGGGAGTGGTTGCAGGCATTCCATGCAAGACAGCCTCTTTTTCCTCTCAGGCTTTTATTTGGTACATTTTAATTGAAATCCATCAACAAAGAGAACTTCATAGCTTGTCATCAGTTCATTGTCTTAAAATGTCAGTTTTGTGACTGATTCTCAGTTTGAAACACATTACGTGCATCTCATTAGTCAGAGTTATTTTGGTGAATCAATTTTGATCAGAAGAGAAGTACTACCTCAGTGCTGTTCCAGTAGCCCTTAGATCTTCAGTTTTGTAGCTGCGTTGTGTGGGAGGAAGGACAGAAAATCCAATGTAAGATTAAAGAGAGAAGTGATAATAAGGTGGAATTAATTTCCCATGCATTTTTACTTTTTTCCTTTCCCCCAATGTATTACCATATTGTTATTTTTCAGAATTATAAGAAATCATGGTATTGAAAGCATGTGGTATTGAAACCCTAAGGCTGAAAAGAACTGCCAATATAGCTTTCCTAGACTATGTTGTAAATACCTTTTTGACACCTGCTTCAGTTGGGAATCTTGCTTTTATGCATTGGTAAAGTCCAAGGATTTAGAACTGGAACAATGTTGTCCTGTTAGGCTGTGTTAGAAAGGCTGATTTCCTCCTTCTTCTACTCTGAAAGCTTTAGAAAAGCTTTTGCATAAGACGTTATGGCTGTACATACACAGATGGCTGTATTAATTCACGTTGCTTCTTTCTAAAAACAAAAAGATCAAATGTAATTTTTTAAAAAAGGTTTGGTTTATTTGAGAGCAGCTAGTGTTTGGGAACATGCTAAGGCTTTCATATTTGTCTGATGGGTAAATAATACTCTCTAAATCACGACAGTTACAACTGATACAATATGAAACACTCTCTGTGCTTGTAAGACTTAACCCCAGGCTCTCATTACATTTTGTGACTTCTGCAAAGTTTCCTCTACCAAAAATCTTACCCAGTTTATTATTTCCTCCCTCTCCCCTCAGAAATGTGTTATAACAAAGTTTGCTTGCTTCATGTCTATCCTAGGAGGCCAGATAAGCTTTGATGTGTTCCCAGATGGCTGGGATAAGAGGTACTGCTTAGGAATCGTTGCCAATGATGGATACAAGACTATTCATTTCTTTGGAGATAAGACTATGCCAGTGAGTATAATATTTTGTGTATACATTTCAGAACTTCTGTTCTATGCTACAAGTACTGTAGGTTCCAACCAATTGCCTTATGCCTGACAGGAACTGAAGTCAGAATATAAATGTGTATCCATGTTTAATTGGCTGTGCAATACTGGTCAGCATGAGCAGAACTTTTCCTTCTGTTTCCTGAAGTGAGCACAGTGTTCTTGACAGACTTAGTAATACTGCAATATGTTTTTAAATTGGACTTGGATAATTATGTTAAAAACCTAGGTGACATGTCTATATAAAACTCATTGTCCTGTTTGGTTATCGTAGATAGAGGCTTCTTGTTGGTTGGTCGTTATTAAACGTAATTATTTTCCATTGAATTTAATACTGTTCCTTTGCTGATCACTCTGTCTCCATGCTGAGGTGCTGAAATTATATATAATCCCTGTACCTAATCACTCAGGAGAGCTAAACAGATCTGCAGGGTGATTCAGCTGCTGCTGAAAATACTGAGCAGAGCCAGCAAGGGCAACAGCAAGCACAGGGCTTGGAAAAAATGGAGGCTGAACATGGCCAAGGAACAGTGTCAGGCTAAGTTTTATAGGAAAAGACTCAGTTTTGTAAGAACTTAGTTTTATAATTTACATACAACTTCATAGTTTTACTTTAAAAGGCCAAGTTTTAGAAGAAAAAAAAAGAAATATTTGAAGTGTTTCCCCCCCCCCCCCTTTTGACAGTAGCTGTGAAAATAATCAGCTGTCCCTCTGGCAGAGAGTTTATGGACAGTTGATTTTAAACCTTGCAACTGGCAGTGCAGCATTTGCAGAGATTTGAAGTAGCAGGAGTTTCTGCTCACTTCATTGTGGTAGCAAACAATGTACACAAATTAGGCTCTATTTCTGTAGTGCAGCAAGCTGTGGCTTTTGGGGATCTCTGCTCATGCAGGTGGCAGTGCCTCTGTCCCCTGAGCCAGCTGTGAAGAGCTTGTTATTGCTCTGGTGATCAGAAACCAGTTGGATCAGCAATGTTAACAATGATTTAATGGAAAGTAAACAGAGTTGGAAGGAAAAGGATAATGCAAATAAGTTACAAATACCATGTGTTGGAATACTGCTTTGTAACAGACTTTACACCTTAATATTAACAAGTAAAGAACTTTAAAAGGGCAATGCTGGGTTGCTGTACCAAACTGAAAACATGGCTAAACTTACACTGAGAGTCCTACCTTTTCTTCACCAGTTCTGTCAGGGAGGTCAGGAAGTTCTCACACGAGTGTTTGTGGTGTTGAGCAGAAGTTTCAGCACAGGTGTGCTTTCTAGCACATGATACAAAAATCTGAAAATCATGGTTTGCAGTTTTGTAACCTTCTGGAAAACATTTCAGACATTACTATGTTGTATCCCTTCTTGCCGTAGTTTTCTTTGTGTCCCTTTTCCACCCCAAGACTGTGACTATATATTAAATCCTCTTCTGCTGTTTTCTTACTCTTATTTTTCAGGGAGGGAATGACTATGAAATTTTCACAGACTCCAGAACAGAAGGCCACAGCGTCACATCCCCACAGGATACAAGACAAATCTGTGAAGAGCTGTTTTTTAAATAAGAGAGTTTTCAAATTCTCACTTACAAAACGGTTAAGACAGCTTAATAACTCAGAATATCTTCCTTAATTCTATATTGTTTATCACGATTGGTCAGTCATTACAGAAGGGAAGCTGCTATTTAAAAGATTAACATTTTTTAAGTTGTTTTTTTTAAATACCACCTTATGCTAGGAAGACATTAATTACAAGATGGTTCAGATTTTCTTGTTATAACTGGAAGATGAATAAGAGAGACAGGTTTTATTTCTTTCTGGGGGTGGGAAGGTAGAACTGAGCCAGATAGTCCCTGAGCTCACATGTTCCAGTGTACACTGAGAATGTTCATTGAGTCTACCAGCATTGGGAAGGCTGGACCAACCGGTGCTAAAGTTAACTCCTTAGTACAATTGTGGTGCCAATGCACAGTACAGTTCATGGTACCAACACTTTTTTGAGAATTTTTAAATATAAAAAAGAAAAAAAGATAGAATTAAAACAAATTGAGCATAGTAGCAAAATGTATTTCCGTCACTAATTACATTCCTGATTATCCTGGTAAGACCTTAAGGGTAGATTAGATTTTAATACTAAGAAAAATTACATAAACTATGTTTTATTAAAATTCAATTTAAAGCATGGCAATCAGAGTAACAACATGTTAATTTTACTTTTCTCATCTGGCATAAGGAAAGTATCTTGTGTATGAACAGTTTAATTTACTAATGGATAATAAAATCTCATTGTAACATGAAAAACTGCTATTTTGATTTGTCATTTTGGCAAATAAAATATGTCAAGCAAACCCTCAGTATGCTGTCTGTCTGTAAAAAGATACTATTTACTTGAATCTTTCCAAGTTTATATTACACTTATACAGTAAAAAAGGGGACAATACAATATTTGTCTACAAATCAAAATCCCCCAAAGGGCTGACAAAAAAGGAGGGGTAACTGTGATGCTCTCATGTATCAGAATTACCTCATCTTCTCACCCCCTTCTCATGTACCGCTTGTGTCCCTTTTCCACCCCAAGACTGTGACTGTAATTTAACCTCAACTATTTTCATGGGGGCTGACTTTGGACCTGAAATGTCTGCAGTGCAGGAAGGCTCTTTAAAAACTGACAGATTTTAATAGCTGCTGCTTTGTGTGTACACATATGCAGTGTATCTGATTATTTGGTTACTTAATGCATGGTTGCTTCCTGTATTTGCCGAAAGTTACCTGTGCAAAACATCCTGTGCAGGGCCAAAACCAGTTTGTTACCAGCCTCAAATACAATCATCTCTGTGCACTGTACCTGTGTATGTTCAGATCTTAAAAGTTAGCTTATTAGTCAGTCTTGGGCAAACACTGCCAGTGGCTCAGGTCTATCTTCTTCCTCTCATGCCAACAGGTGAGAAGCACACAGTCTGTCTCTGGGGGAGAAGAAACAGAAAACAAAAAGCAACTCCATACTGCCTAGTTCCTTGTTCCCATCTGACTTCCTCTATTTTGAGTTTAAACAAGCACAATCCTCCTTGCTTTCAGCAGCCCCTCTTCAGCTAAAGCTTTGCTGACACTATTTTGGCTGTGCTGCCTTGGGAGCCCCTTCTGAAGTGTTCTGGCCGCCTTCCTCCCAAGTTTCAGCTGAAATGACTGTGCTATACCTTCCAGTTACCCCCTATTATATGTTCATATAAATAATAGCTATTAAATATTATATAATTAAAATAAATTTATTTACAGAAGTAGTATATATTATACATTAACCAATTAAGCAGCTAGAAAATTTGCTAGATTACTCCTTAATTGTTCTGGTAATGCCAGTCAGGTGATACTACAAAGCTCTTTAAAAAACTTTATACTGATACAGGTACATACACAGGCATCTGCACTCTCCCCCCTCTCTAATACTGATCATCTTCAACACCAAGTACACAGGGAGCAGACTGAAGGGCTATGTTAAACCTTATATTGGTCACATTTCTTGTCAAAGAGCAGTGTGTGATAGGCCAAATCCACTGCTACTAAGTCTTACTGTTAATATAAAAGAAACAAAATCCCCAGACTCCACTACAGGCTGGTCAATATTGTGCACTGTAGTGTAATACGGGTCCAACTAAGGTAAAACAAGGCATCACAGCAGTTACTGACCTCGTGTATCTGTGCTCTCCCCAGGTCAGACCTCAGCTCATCTGCTGTGAAACAGTCTAAGACATTTCCTGAGAGCCAGCACCTATTGTTGAAACTGCAAAGAGGCAACTGAATTTTTACAGTTTCACACAACAGAAGAGTATCATACCAGCTTTTTTTCTTTTTTTTTATTTGCAAAGTCAATAAAAATGCACTGTTAGGAACATAACAGAAAAATGCTTCGTTTGAAAAAAAAAAAAAAACAAAGATGTGGAAGGCAAATAGGAACAGAACTAAGTTAGTTACACTACAACTACACGGAATTCTGCAGGCAAAGAAGAGTCAGGGCAAAGGTGGTCACATCACAGCCTACCAAGCAAGTTTTCCAGGGAAACAGCTGCAGAATCTACTGCACAGAGACAGCTGAGCCTATTGAGTAACTCACACAGTATTTCATACACAGTCAACTGAATAGCATGTAACTTGCTTTCCAGAAGTGCAGCTATTCTGCCTGCCCAGTGAAATACCATGGCAGACATTCAGCTATATGCAATCAAGAAGGTAATCTTCAGCTTTGTCTAAATTCAGGCACAGTCAGAGGCTATGAAGTGTCTGCTACTCTACAACTTTCTACCACTTATCTTGAAGCAAATTTTTTAAATTTTTGTGGTTTTTTTTGGTTGGTTGAGGGTTGTTTTTTTTCAATACTGGCCTATAAATTAAGTTGCTAATCAACCATCAAGGCACCTAAGTAAATTCTCAGACAATCCAGGCTTTAAAACGACAATATTCTGCACATCTGCAGACATGCCCTTTGCACCTGAAGGGCACCCAGCCGGGCCATCGGAGCGTAACCACCAGATGGAGATTTTCCACTCGGCAGCAACTGCTCTGTTTGTGAACTTCCTTCCACGAGGAAAACAAATTGCAGCAATGAACCCCTCTCTCTCTCAAGCCAAGGTATTCAGGCACTGTTATCAGCAGTAAGTGTACTTCAGCCCTTAGAGAAGAGCAGCTCAAAGGAACGAAGTGCTCACACCCCGGCAGGGCCTCCCCTGCTAAGGCTGTTTGCAGTAGAGGAACTCTCCTTAAAACCTCTCCCTGATTCCCATGGGCATTTACTGGAATCAGTTCACAAGATAAAAGAAAAACCAAACCTCTCACCCTCCACCAAGCACACAAACTAGGTCTCTCTAAGATACCTTTTTTTGTAAACCCTTAAGGCTAGATTTTTTTCATTAGCATTTGAATTGCCTTTTTGTTTGTTGGTTGTTTTTTTTTCCCCAGGCCAGCTGTACAAATGGTAATTTTGGCCTGCTTCGGCTTTATTGACAATGCAGTTATTTTCTCCCACACAATAGGTAGAATATTCTTAGGACAGTTCCCCTGCAGCAGTGACCAGTCAGGCAGTGGCTGCACTCTCTCTGGAAAACCTCAGGAGCTGACAACATGGCCCGACCAGGTCTCGTGCTTGGTTCCAGGAGCTAGATGGGTAATCACCACCTCCACGGCCTGGAGCTTCTCATTCTTTGGAGGGATGGTGCACATCTTGTAGGTGACCTCATCGCCTGCCACAGGAACATACTCGCCTTCAATACTGTGGAGGAGAAGCTTCAGTTAATCATCAATGACATAAACACTCTTACTCTTCTGCAGCTTATTTAAATTTTTACCATAATTATTATCTTAGGTGCTCAAGGTACTTCGGAGCCCATCGGCCATCAAAGCTTGGGTTGATTTTGGTTGTCTTGCAGCAAAATCCTATGAAAACACTATAAACACTACCACCACTGTAAAAAAAACCCCACAAAATCAAACAGACAAAGCCAAAGACAACCCCCACACACACTGTAATATGCCTTCAAAAAATAATCAGCAAAGCGTGCCTTGAACAACAGTGCTGAGAATCATGTCACAACCTCTTACTCTCTGGCAGCACTAGAGGGCAGGGCACACACTGTTTGGCATTTCGTTTGTAGGTTTGTTCTTTTAAACTATAGGGATATATATTTTTTTTTCCTTCTTCCATGTTCTTGAGGCTTTTTTTTTCCACTCTCTGTTTTTTTAAAGGATTGTACCCTGCCAACCGTTGATTTTACCATTAGGTTATTCCACCACAACATTATTAATCTGAGATATAAAGGAAAAAAGAGCCCAAGTAAGACACAGCGTGGAATACTTAAAAATTACTTGTTGCTAAAAGGGAGACTTGTGACCCAGACATATTACATTGCAGAACTTTCCCCCAGCATCCAGCACTTAGGAAAACTGCCAAGAGTAGCTCCCTCCTACCTAGTTTCTACCAGCGTGATGACTCAGGAGCTGGAGGACTTGAATGGTGCCTGTGTCAGTGCACACAAGTCCTCACCTGGGAACAGCAGGAAGTGGCAAAAGGGCTGTCACCAGAACCCAGTACTGATGAAACAGAGGACTGCCAAGGTTCACAGCCTCCCTTGCCTCTACCACTGCATTCAAGATTAGAGCTTTTTCATAAAAATCCCAGCATGCACCAACAAGGACAGGCAGAGATGCCTTTCAACCTGCATTACGATGATTCTCTGACAGTAGAAAGGATGCTACTTCACCTTTCTTTTAATATACCTACCTGATCCCATGCTCAGTTTCCCTTCTCTGACAACATAGGCCCTAGATTTCTTGTTGTTTGAGGGTTGTTTTTTTTCAATGTTGCTCAGCAGCCTTTGCATTTGTTAACAGATAAACACCACTGAATTTGTTATTTGCCTTCACTGAGAGCACACTGAAAACATACTTATGCCACCCAGGAATTTTACCCCACAAATGTTTCTCTTATTGTAGAGACCTTTGTATCCACTCTCACCTTGTGACCCATTATTGTTACAGCTTTTCTATTGCAGGAAAAACTGGCAGGACTGATAGGAGGTAAATATACTGTCACTTACTGTCACTCTTCTGCTCTGAAGCT